ATAAAAAAGAAGTAAGAAATAAAAACAAAAAAACAAGAAAATAAAACCAGGGGCTGGGGAGATGGCTCAGTGGAATAAGCGCTTCCCTGGCAAGCGAAGGGCTTGAGTTCAATCCCCGGTTCCACCAAAAAAAAAAAAAGAAGAAAACTAGAACAATGTTTACTCACATAAAAACAAAAACCAGATAATCAGAAAACAAAGAAATGCAAAAGAAAAAATGTCCACATCAAGGTGTTTCCCTGCTGTCACTGGTGGACAAAGGCAGAATACACCTGAGTTGATTAAGCCCAACTGAGTTGACTATGCCAGCAGATTTACAATGGGAGGTTAGACAATACCAGTGAGCCTGCATCTTTATTTAGTTCCACTGAAGTTCAGGGTAATTTCTAGCTGTGAGGCTGGAACCTGATTTGTTCAGCTTGCCACACCATGTGCCTCCTGCAGGCTGTAACTTGGCTTTTTTTTTTTTTTTTTTTTTTGGCAGAACTGGGGATTGAACTCAGGCCCTTGTGCTTACCAGGCAAGCACTTATCCTACTGAGCCACCTCCCCAGCCATTAACTTGGCTTCTTGACCTCTGGCTAACTCAAATTCGGCGGCCTCACCTTAACACTGGGAACATGGACCCAGCCTGAAGCTGTTCTGAGTTCTGAGCTTAGTTGGCCCCTTTCTAAGATGACTACTGGCCTATAGATAACCCTCTTCTTGGGACATCTGAACCGAAAGCCCTGACAGTCCACTACATCCACTGTTTCATTCCACTAGTGTTTCTCCAACAGGGGCCTCTGGTGTCACCAGCTGTGACCATGCATCTTCAGGTTCAAGCTGTTTCTCCCACAGTGAGTCCGGGCTCAGGGAGAAAGCTCTGCCTGCTTCTCCTTTGCTGAAGTTGCTCTCTTTTAATCTATCCTCTCCCCCTGGGCTTCAGTTCTCACTGCAGATCCCTCCTGAGTGCTGGAGACCAACTTGCCTCCTTTTCTTCCTCACGATGTCATATTCCAATATGTGAATGCCAAATTTCAGAGACCTTCTGCGTGCTCACCATTCTGCCATCTTCCTGGAAATCTTTAAATTGTGTAGTTTACACTAGCCTCGACCTCACAGCAATCCTCCTGCCTCACTCTCAAGCACTGGGATTACAGGTGTAGGCCACGACCTTTGGCTCCAAACATCACTGTTTTTTAAGTACCATTTTCAGCTGGGTGTGGAGGCACATTATCTGTATCACACACAGGACTTTATGAGGCTGAGTCAGGAGGACTGTAAATTTAAGCCCAACCTGGGCAACTTAGCAAGATTTGGTAACTCCATCTCAACACAAAATAAAGGGCTAGGAATGTAGCTCAGCATGAAAGTTCTGGGTCCAATCCTCAGTAATGAGAAAGAATTTAAAGAGCACTGGTGCCTGAAGAAAGCACTGATTCCAAGGATCAATGCAGGGGGAAGGGGATGAGAAATGGCCAAGGATGAGCTCACATGGCTAAGTATGAGATGAGAAGAGTACTAACTGGTTATAAGCAATATACAAATAAGCAGGTCAACTGAGTGAAATAAACAGAAAATACCTTTTAGAATTTCAGTCAATGAAAGCAGAAGGAATGACTGACATAGAAAAGGAACCACGAATGTCTGCTGATTAGTGGACAGAAACACAGGAGCAACAGCAAACAAAGATGTGTTTAGCCAAAAAAATAAAAATTAAAAACAAAAAAAAGATGTGTTTGTTCAGGGTGGTATGGCCGTAGACCTTTCTAGGTCATTAATGATAAATGTCAAACCAACACCATACCTATAACCACATATTCACCTAAAGCAAGTGACTCTCACCCCTCACATAAACTAAACAAATACTGACACATGCCGATGAGATGACAACCAATTGAGGGATGAGGAAGTGAGAGTTGCACTAGGGGTGTATTAGTAGGCAAACAGTGAAAACTGAAGATCTATAAAATGATAGTGTAAGGTAGCATAACGGATAGTACTGTATTAAAACTTCTGACTTTCACAATTTTCCTGTACATATGTAAGACGTTAACATTTGGAGAATGTGAAGAGGGCAGATGGAAATACTCAATACAAATTTTTACAATGTGAAATCTGACTTTTGTTTCAAAGCAGTGTAAAACAATTAAAATGCAACATCTTCACTTACCCAGGAATTGAATTTTTTTTTTTTTGGTGGCCAGCTCAGCTCACCCTGGGGATGGGGCTGGCATGGCATTTGGTGCTGGGGATTGAACCATGGTCCCCGTGTGCTTACCTAAATAGGTGCTTTAGACCGCTGAACTATCTTGCCGGCCACCAGGAATAGAATTTGATCAGGTTCTCCACTGGTATGCTAACCCAACCCTGATACAATACTTGAAATTCAGAATTTCATTTGTAGTCAGTTCTAACCTGGGATATAACCTTGAGACAGTCTAATCTTTCCACTAAGCCCTGACCTATTAAATATTAAGAAAATATATTCTAAAATACAACTATCCGATGTGTTGTCAAATAAAACTGGGCTACTCTAACCATGTGGTTTTAAAATTCAAAACCAAAGGGGCCGGGGAGATGGTTCAGTGGAATAAGCACTTCCCTGACAAGCGCAAGGGCCTGAGTTCAATCCCCGGTTCCGCCAAGTAAGTAAATAAATAGAAGTCTCATTAAAATTCAAAACCAAAGAAATGAACATTAGGGGGCTGGTGAGATGGCTCAGTGGTCTAAAGCACCTACTTAGAATAAGCAAAACACAGGGACCGCGGTTCAATCCCCCAGCACCACATGCCAGCCAGCCCCGCCCCCTGGTGGGCTGAGCTGGTCACACACACACACACAATTAAAAACAACAACAACAACAAAAAAAATGAACATTAGGCATCTAAAGATGAATGCATAGTATAGACAGGAAGGCAAAAATGTCCTATAATCCTGGCAACTGGGAGGCTGAGGCAGGAAGGCTGCCAAGTATCTGAGGCCAGCCTATGAGGCCAGCCTAGGCTACATAGCTCAAGGCCAGCCTATATACTACAAATGGAGACCATCTCAAAAAAAAAAAAAAAAAAAAAAAAATCAACAAAAAGAAAAAAAAAAAAAAAAGATCAGGACAAGTGGGAAATAATCTGCAGGGAGCAATTAGAGGTAAAAGGCAGAAAGAACTCTTTAAATACTTCACAAAAGGTACTGAAAAGAAACAGCATTTTATTTATAGACTTAATTCTATATATAGGACAGAAGACACGAGTAAAAGAATACTTTCTAACTCTTAATGATTCTCAAGTGTGCGCTTTGGCTGGATTTCCAAAGCACAGGACAGATGATCCTTTGCAGTGGAGAAGGATTTGGATAAAGCTATTTTAATCTGAGATATATGAACTGTAAGTGCTGAGTTAGTTGGCCTCTAATAGTGAAGAATTTTTCGCTATCCCCTTTTCTTTAGCCAACAATCTGGGTAAGAGCAACAATACTTGATTTGTTTTAATTTAAAAAAATGCAATAGTTATGTGAAATACAAAATAAGAACACTACTGAGTTTGACAAAATTTATTGGTTATTTTAGTAAAGACATTCATCTCAGTCATTTCTCTCTCATCTTGACCTTACATTAGTATTTCATTTGGGTCAAGAAAAGAGTATGTAGGAGAGGGATGTTATGTTAACAAACAGTAAAATGGACAAAAATGAGTTAAGTT